ATGTCCCGCAAAAGCGCAGTCTACCAAAACGCAGGTGTTGCTGCTTCAGAGCCTTTGGACGCCAGTGGAAGCCCCCAATAGCACAATGACCACACACCCTGGCCCAAAACTTGCGAGCCTGTCTGTGTCTTCTGCGGTCAGCAAGCGAGCCTCCAGCTCCCCACTGCCCAACCTGGAAGCACTGCAACGACGACTGGGAATTGATCCAAGTAACGCAGAATTAGCCATCAACGAAGTTCTTGCTAGCCGTGCAGACCCCAAATACACTGACTGGAAAATCATTGTCATGGATAACACCACCTGGCAACTCAATGACGCTGACCCAGGGTCCCTGGACGTTCAGTGCACTGGGTTGGGTGGATTGGGACGTACTGCTAGCTTGCAAAAAGGAAGCGCATGTGTATGGGCCATCTCTCAGCAAACAGGACGATTGGACTGCAAGGGCTGGCACAATTGCAGGCACTGCCCACACATAAGAATACTTGCTGCTGCACATAGCCATGTTTCCCATAGGTGCGCACACCTGGTGCCGAGTCTTAGGAGTGCCCAGTGCAGACCAATTGCAGGCACAAATTATCAGTCGAGCCATGAAACTGCTGCGCTTCTGTCCTATTATCCCAGCACATAGGAAACCGCCGTGGCCAGGGTACCTGCATGGCCTGCGACTTTTCACTAAGTTATTAGTTGCACACCCGCTGGTCGGAGTATACCTGCCCCCTGAAATCCGCCCAGTAGATTTTCTGAGATTAACAGGATACATGGTAGGCTCTCTCTTCATTCGAGGACACAGCGCTGGCTCGTATGCAGGAATGGTATGGGAGACCATCCTCTCGGAATTCCCAGATGTTGAAGGCAAAACCGTACTAGCAGCCATTGCTCTGCCACCATCGCTGCTGACGGCACATAGCCTATCTCAGCTTCGACAGATCCACCTCATTCACCATGCAGATGACAGGCTTTGCGTTGGAACCCGTCGAACCATAACATTAAACTGCTCAGGCAACGGGACTTTGCAATCACGCACATCACACGATGGAGAGCATACCTAGGCACTGCACAACACAGCTACTCGCACTGGACACGAGTTACCCTCCCAGAGGGACGACCAGACATGGCGCAGTTAGAAGGTACCCCAGGAGTGCTCCTCTTTGAGGTCTACTCGCAGGCTCCCCTCCGTCTGATCTCCTGGTGCAGCTTCGAGCTCCCAAAAACAGCCAAAAAACTCCTGCGCGAACTAGCAGAGATGTAGTTGTGATGGCAAGCATTGATGTTCGTGATGCATTTCTGCAGGTTGAACAGAGCCAGCCGATGCTTGTGCATTTACAAAATGAACCGTTTGTTATCAACAGAAACCTTCCAGGACAAAGGCTGGGAGCTAAGCAGTGGTTTCTTCATCTCCAAGCGTTTTTGAAGGAGCGCATGGATTTTCAGTTTTCAAGTCAATTTGGTGCAGGAGTGTTGCTTCCCGGTCGAGCTCCGGGGTGATTGCAGCTCATTTCGTAATCGTTCTGGTAAGTACAGTCCTTCAAGTATTCTGCGCCAACGAAACGTAGCAAAGTTTGTTTGTCGAGACTGTTTCTCAATGATATGTTGGTATTTCCAGACAGTTTGATTCATGATTGTGGTGGCCCTATCTGTCAGAGTTGTGGGTTTCACTCGCGCCAAAGAAGATTGCTCACTTCTACACTCGTCTACGGCGCCACACCCTTGCTGTAGCATGTCAATGACCGTGTCTTCAGCACTTTGCGCAGCAGCAGCTTGTACAGCGTTGAAGACTTCTTTTCGGGCAGGGTGACCATGCCATTGCAATGAATGGCAAAGCACGGAAGCAATCGGAATCTCCTGCCACGGGTCTGCTTGTGCGTCTAGGAGCAGCTGTACATTCGTCCTGTGCCGATGAAGGACAGCAAACATGTTTCACAAATTGCAGTTTGATAGCCGCCGAGTGGGTATGCACGGCCAAAGTTTGCACAGAGAGCACATTTTTTTTGCCGACTTTGGCCACGTCGTGCTAACCACTCATCATCATCCTCATTGACTGCCCAGCGTAACTAGGTGAACCTAGTAATACTAGGAATCCATCGCTTGTTGGCCTCGCAAGCATGGCTGAGCCATACCCAGCTGATTCCTCCCGTCCATCCAGCTGTTAGTACCTTATTACGAATATAGTGAGATGCTAGCTGCATCATGTGATGGAGCACACATTTTTTGACTGCGTTTATTCGTTGTTTGATTGTACCACTTCCTGATACTGCTCTTGTTAGGACACCTTCCCCAACGACACGTGCCCACGCTTGCCATAGTCAGCAGGGCAGCCTTGCATGGCCAGGAACTCAAAAGCCACAATCCTCATTCATGTGGATGACATACTTTTCGTTGGTTTGAAGTCGTTTTGGGTGGACGGTGTTGGCAGTAGCATCAAATTCTTGAGGCGGACGATGACTGAAACAAATGAAGGTTTGGTCATTACACCTGGAACGAATGTTGAAAAGATGGTGAGATTGTTTGAAAAGGCTTTTGGACCAGTGCGTAGTCAGAAGACACCATGTGACCAGTCCATACAACTGCCTGACAATTCTCCCAAGCTTGACAAGAAGGATGCAACATCTTTCCGTTCTCTGGTAGGGCTTTGCTTGTACATTGCACGTGAACGTCCGGACCTCATGTTCCCGATAAAGGAGCCCGCATGTGCAATGTCATCACCGACAGTAGCAGCACTTGGTCACTTGAGGAAGTTGGTTGGATTTATGAAACAGATGGGAGACATAGGTGTACGCCTGCATGTGCCAATGCCTGGACAGGGAAAGTTTGCTTCAGGAAGTTCTTGCAATTGGGTTTTGGAGAGCTACACAGACGCAGACTGGAGTGCCAACAGAAACCACCGCCGATCCACTTCTTGCGGAATGCATTTCCTCAATTCTTCATTTGCATACGGTAGCAGTCGGAGTCAAAAGGTGGTGAGTTTATCCAGCTGTGAAAGTGAACTTCACTCAATGGTCAGCAGCATGTGTGATGGGATTTTCATAAAGGCATGTGCAGAGTTCATCCTGAACGGGGAGGTGGAGCACATCCAGTACACCGACAGTTCATCAGCCAGACAGCTGGCATGCAGACAGGGCAGCGGACGTGTCCGCCACCTTAGCGGCAAAATCTTGTGGGTGCAGGAGAAAACTGAAGATGGCTCAGTTGTTTTGAGACAGGTTGGAACGAGCGAAAATCTTGCAGATATAGGTACCAAATGTTTGACGAGACAAAGGCTTCTGTACCTCATGCATGAAACAGGCTTGATCTACATTCCGTCCTTTGAAGATGTGGGACAGGAGGAGTTTTCGAGACATACTGAGAAAGTTGGAGGTGCTGCACAGATCAAACGGATTGCAAAGGCCATATACCGAATGTCACTTGCGATGGGCCTTGAGCCACTCAACAGACCTACAGGCGCAATGGCATTTCCAGATGTTTGCCATGGACTGGAAGATGAGCCAAAGTACAATGCATGGTGGATTTTAACTGTGACGTTTTTATTCATTTGCGTTTTCACAATTGGTTTTCTGGCATGGAAACGTTTGAGCAAGAGAGTGCTGGAAGCAGAGATTGCAGTTGGAGGTTTGCAAGTGAGCCTAGCTGCAGTGGAACAACAACTGGCAGATCATTATGAATTTGCAGCCGAATTGGATACAAGATTGAATACAGCTGGAGAAGTACATGATGCTTTGGTTGGAAGGCATGAAGCTTTTGAACATCAGGTCATGGAAAACCTGGTGAGCAATGAAGAGAGTGCGGATTGCATCAGATATGGTTTGATGGAGATTGGAGGTTTCATCCGTACACAGACCCTCAACAGAGAGCAACGTAACCACATGCTGATTCAAGAACGTGCCAATTTGGTTTTATGGAATATGAGACACCAGTCAGAAACAACAGATGCTGCAGAGGATGGCAATGACCAAGAACGTGGAGAAGAGGAATCGCCGGCAGATGATCCGGAGATATCCCCCGACAGTGCAGTCCTGCTGGATAATCTCCGGAAAGATCAAAACAATGCACTTGCAGGTGAGCGATGGAACGAAGCTTCGCAGTTACAACAAGCGATTGTAACGTTGTTGGATGCAACCTCAGGCCCAAATCCTGAGGGGTTATCTATGAGAGTGCTCACTGCGATCAGAAACATCGGACAAAGACTTTACAGATACCACCGGAACAGAGGCTTGGATGAGAGGTCAGAAAGGTTTTACCTCTACGTTACCGATTTGCAGAGCTTAATGCGGTGACAGAAGAATTTACAACTGCCAATGCACAATCAGAGAAAACATCTGTTTGAATGCGATGGTGGATACAAAATGGAGAGAATCCTCACCATTTTGAGGAGGAGTGCAAAGAATTGTGCGGCCTACTCACATGGATGACACACACAAATCGAGATGTAACAGTTGTGTCACTTTCATGTACCTGTCATGGAAACTCATGATTCAGGTTGATTTCATCGAGGCCCTTTTCGGCACAAAAGCGAGTGCATGCGTTTCTCAGTGAACCTTCGCAGACTGAAATGGACCGGCTATCCAGTTCAACATGTTTGTTTCTCTCAAACGATTAAGCCGGCAGACCCACTACTACACGATTTGTTGCCAATTTTTCGGGCTTGTTAGGTTTGAAGCGAACGGTGGTAGTCAAGGTATTGCGTTCATGTGGGATGGATGCAAATTATATCATTGTGAATAGAAAAACACAAATATAAAATTTTGTGATTTTTACCACCCAGAAAAATACATTTCAAAAAAAAACATATTTTCCAGTGTGGGGCCGACAATTTTTCCCATGGCAACATGGATTGCAAGATAAGCAAACACTGCTTCAATCCATGCTTGACGCAACAACAAATGTTCCTTTGGGTTTGTGTGGCACTGATTGTGTTCAATTCTATTTTTTGAAAAAAAAAACTACAAGAGAAATTCGCGATAAGGCGTTGTGTGATTCAACTTTGCGGCTCAAACAGTTGGGTTTCCAATGAACCCTCAATTTTCTGAAAACACATTTCTTTGGCCAATACACGCAATTTCATATCCAGGCGCGAGGAAACAGTGAATTGTGATGTCAAATGTATGACCTGATGTTTTTTCTTGCAGGTCTTCATGATTACGCGCTGGGGCCAGGGCCTTGGACGTTCATGATTTTTTCCACATTTGTTGGACGTTTGGAATTATCGCTGAGGTTGTTCAGCATGGTTGTGGGGACCTTGGTTCAATGCACATGAATTCCCTACTTGTTTGCAGTCGTTTTTTTGTTGCAAAATATGTTTGGAATCCAAACCAACATGATGCATTTCTGAAACGTAAAATTAAAAATATTCAAAATGCACTACCAAGGTGTTGTTGTTTCTTACTTGTCCTCGAAACAAACAGTGCTGCCCTCAGCCATCACCCAATGTTCAAACTTTTCGCCACCAAGATGTCATTAATCATCAATCATTTGATCAGGTGAATCAAACGCCATCTTCACTCCGGATGGCAAGGTTGCTGCCCCAGAAAAAATGCGCAAATTTGTTTGGGAGATTTGACCGTTTGGCCGATCAGAATTATACCAGAATATGTTGACAGTAGGATCAGTATGCGTAGTCTAATGAAACATTGATGTTGGAAATGAATTTCCGTAGATTATATTGCGGATGTTTCACAGGTCCACATCGAAGACAGACGCGCCAGCTTCAAACCGTGGATCAGACGAGAACACGAGGTTGGATGCAGATGATGTCAGATTTCGTTGACGCGGAAACAAACATGCTAATCCATGACGAAGATGTTTCAAAGTAAAAATAGTTTTCATGAATGTCCATGATTGAACAAGGAGGCAGCAATGGAACTGGAAGAGCGCCTGAAACCTACATGGATGTTTGAGCGATGCGCGGAGACCTTTGATTTTTCAAGACCCAAGGTACCAATCAAGCTCCACAGGCCGCTTGCACTGTGTCTACACACCAATGAATGACAAATCGCTGTAGAAATATCCAACTTCTTAATTCAAAGGTACGGTTGAACCTATCCCCGCACCTACAAATTTATTACTTGGAATCTTGGCATCATTGAGACTTTTTTCCTGAAGGTATTTTTGGGTTTCGACAGATTGTGCCGCCGCAAGGCTGTTTTTGGCGATCCAAAAGTTTCACCAACTATCGCCAAGGCTGCAGTTTCGGGACGACTTTGGAGATACGTTCTAGTTTGTCTTCAGATTTTGGTCGCCTTGCTGTCAGATTTTTTTTCCTTTTTTTCCAAGGCAGTTTTGTCGTCAGAAGCTCACAAGGCTGACGTCATGCACCCTGGCAGCAGATTGTCCACGCTTTTGCATTAAAAATCGGTCCTGTTGAGTTGACACTTTGTATATGCTGCATATTGCTTCACAGTGGCAGTCACCGCATCATATGTCGTGATCGAAACTAAGGGAAGGGCTGAAGACTGTGCTTGTTGCACAACAGGCGTTTCAGTGGAAGAAGTGTTTTGCAACTTGAGCAGTGAATAGGAACAAAACACAATGATGTGGAATCCTGTTCAAGATTCTCTAGCATTATTTGTTCTTGACTTTTGCTGACCTGCCTTAGACGTCTGCGTCCACTGCATCCTCTCTTCTGCTCATCTCAGAATTTACATTCTTTTTGTTCTGTCCTCAGGGTGGCATGTGGCGGGCAGTCGAAGACTGGACCAAATGAATCTATTGACACATGGAACATGGAAACCTTGAAGAGTTCCAAGGATGATGCTGTACTTGTTAAACCACAAGGACGTCAATGTGGGGTGCTTAGTGGCTTAGTTTTTTATCATCCAGCAAAGGAATGTCAATGATAGTTTTTCGTTGGGCATGGCAGAATCTCACCTGTGCCAAGGTGAAGCGACTTTCCTGGTCCAGTTTGCATACGTCCGTTGCCATCTTCGTCAGCATGCTGTTGTTCATGTCCACCAAGTCGCTCTGGATCCTTCTGGCCGTGACCCTAGTGACCTAGTGGCAATCTCACCACAGGATTTCAGGGGGTTGGCTTCCAAACTTCCAAACTTCCAAACTTCCAAGCTGCTGCAAGCTGCTAGCTGCTGCCAGCTGCTGCTAGCTGTCTTGTCCCTTGGATCTTGCCTTGTGCTGTGAGGCGGGGCACACTCTCGATCGCACTGCGGCGGGTCTGGCCTTCAGCAGATTCTTTTTGGGGATTTTCGAGTCTGATCCGTTTTGCCGTTTTGCCGAACATTTGTGAAAACAGTGCAATACGATTTTTCATCAGGTGTTGCTTTGAGCTGGACTCGCTATGTGATCGTTTGGATTCTGGCCCCTGGCTCAGCTTCGTGGTGAGAACGGCTGGCGATTTCTTTGACCTGTGACTCGCCAGAAAATCCATTCCACGGCAGGGGCCTGTCATACTTCTTCGCCGTGGGGTTGATGATGAATCACGAGAGGTGGCAAAACAATCCGTGGGACCATAATGGACCCGTTGTATTGAAGCTGAGGGATTGGCTCTTGGTGGTGTTGTGTTCTAGAGTAGACCGGACTATGGCAAAAAAGACATACAAAAGTACCGCTTCAAACGGTCACCTTGACCTATCTCCCTAACAGTTGTAACCCATATATCGAGAAAGACAGTCTGATTCCACAAATGGAACTTGTCATTCTTGTCATTGTCAGGCGTGGTGCTCCGTTGTGAAGTGGTTCACCGCTTTTTGCGCGGCAGATGCCTTTGGCGAATTGATGATGCCTTTGCCCCGGTACATCACGCGGTGAAAATCTCTGCAGTTCCCTGCAGCAGTGCCGAGGATTGGAGTCTTCACAGCATCAGTTGGTGCCCAATTTGGTGGTGTCAGCCCAGCTGATTTTTGTATCATGAGAAGATGCCACTTGAAGACCAAAGTCAAAGCAAATCTGGATCAAACATGCTCCCTTTGACTG